GTAACTTTCTATTAAATTTTCTTAATTTCGACGATGCATATAAACTTATACGTGATATATGTATATTTAATTAATCATATATTAATGCATAGTGTAGCTTAGTACATACATATAATTCTTTAAATGCGCATTGTAGAAATTAAGATAATTTAATAAAAAGTTTCTAGTTAATACGCGTATCAAATCAATTAAATATTAAAAACGCTTCAAATACAAAATGTATATACATGTCTAAAAAACATTGGTTTTAATAACAAATCTTAAAATTAATATTATTATTAAAATATATTAAATAAATATATAATAAAATATTAAATATTATTATTAAAATATATTAAAAATATATAAAATATATTATATTATTATTATTATTATTATTAAAATTAATATTATATTGACTAATTGCTTAAATTTTAGCAATTTATACTAAACAGCTAACTCCCGTAAGAATATCGGTCTTTAATAATATCTCGTCGGTGGCCAAAGGCAATTATTAAATTTTTGTTCTGTCAAATGGGTCCAGGAAAATTGAAGAACAATAGCATTATCAACCGTATGTACATTATATAAACTTTCTACTGTCGATAATAGTGATTTGATCTGCACGTATAAATAATCGATCACGTTAATTGCAGTTATCCTCGGTACATACGTATAATTACGTAAGGCCAAAGCAGTTGGTAATGTCATCGTTCTTCAATTATTCTCAGTCGGGTTTATGAAAATTTGTCTTTGTCCTTTAATATAATATCTCTTCAAGCAAAATCTCAAAATACATATGTAACTCGTTATTCCTGAGATCTGACCTTTTTTTTATATATTAATTATAACTTCAATTAAAAATCAATAATTATTTTATGGTAATAAAACAGTATAAGCATATATTATGTAATTGATAAGCTAATCGTTGATTAAATTAATCGGAGTTGATTGGAATCACCTTTAAGGTCACTTTGATTAACTTTAAACAACGATTAACTCAATAGCCCTGATATAAGATACTGACATTATATTTGCAGTTTTGCGTCAAAATGTCGCAAAAAATATTATTGTGTTGTGTCTAAATACATATAACGACAAATACGATTGGCTTGCTGCCTGGATGATTGAATTAATTATCGATTAATAATTAATCGGAGATAGTTGAAGTGGCCTTTAAAGATTTGGGTTTGCGAGATCAAAAAAATCACGCAGCGTGGACAAAGACCGAAAAAGACTCGATCACGTGCAGTATGCACAATATCGCTCGTACACACACACAATTGATACAAATATCTATTATTAGCCTTATTAGCGATTAGGAGAAAACGTCTCGAGCGCAAACGTATATGTTTCATCTACCCAAGTAATTAACGTGCAATGTTGCAATGACGTAAAATTGACGTGAAAATTTTCGTCAAGCCTCAGTCAATCTCGACCATATGATCGTTGTACAATACGTACAATCGAGCGTTACTTGAAATAATGTCAATTCCGAGATATTAAATATGCATTTATTATATCATTTCATTTTCATGAAGCCAGACTTTCAGTCTTCATTATAGTTTTTATTTTAAGACTGTCTTAAAAAAAAGAAAAGCAGTAACCCGGAGAACGAACGGGCAATTCAATTCGCATACGCGTGCAATTTGTTACTCACACCCGACTGCAACGCGATTAATATTTAATATTCCATAACTAATTAGACATTATAGAGTACGTTTTCGGAATTCGCGGCGCGCTCGATATTAACCGTGAGCGCCGCTAATCCAATAATTGTGTCTCTCGAACGGCTGTTGTCGGCTGAGTCGGCGGGGCGTGCAATCGCCATGACGCGGCGCAACGCGGACGTCATCGTGTCCTGCCAAAAAAATTAAAAAAAAAAGAAGCGAAAGATCCTAGGTAAGACGAGAGACGGTATATCTTTGGCCCATCCTCTCTCCCCTTGGGAAACGTATACCCAGGGAGGACGCGAGGGGATGAATGAATGAAACGTAGAAAAGGGAGGAAACTGGAGGAAACGCTCTCGCGGCCGAGACGCGACGCCCCGGGTGCGCGTCCGTCTGCTGCCACGGTGCGGAGGGGAGCGTAATCGCGGACGCCCGATCTGACGTAGAGGTAGAATCCTAGACCGGCGACCGAGTCGCCGTCGCGTCGGGGGGCCGCCGAGCATAGGGAAATCGTCGCAGGTGAGAGAGACGAGGTGGGAGATCGCACACTCGTCTCGTCGCGTTCGCCAGCGTTCGCGAGTAGCCGAGCGACAAGCAGTGGTGAAGATTACAACACAGCGACAACAATAACAACAACAACGACGACGACGACGACGACGACGACGGAGGCGACGAGCGTGACGGCCGACGGTGGCGGTAGAGTGCGCGGCGTCGACGACCTGCCAGCGGACGAGGTACGGCGACACCTGCTCGGTGGGTAGGTAGGCTGCTGCACGCGCGGTGTGACGCGCGTACGCAAAAGAACGGACGGACGTGCGGACGTATGTATGTACATACATACGTGCATGCGTGCGTGCGTGCGGCACAGCAGAAGCGGAGACGGCCATACTCAAACAACGGCCGAGCGGAGTGCGCGGGGCTACGAGAGATGAGGTAGATAATAGAGTTTCAGAAACGCGAAAGAAAGAGAGAGAGGGAGAGAGAGAGAGTGAGAGAAAAAGAGAGGTTCCGATCTTCGCGAACCGCACGCAGTGGGCCGCGCGCGGTGTGAGGCAGGAGGCTGCAGGACGGGCAGTGGGACAAAGAGAGAGAGAGAGGTGAAGAGAGACGAGACGACAAACGGAGGCGAATTGAGGCTGAGCGTAAACCGAGTCGAATCGAATCGTGGTCGGCGCGATATATCGGTGATTCGCGAGGGCGAGCCAACAGCAGCAGCGAGAGCAGCGGCGGCGGCAGCAGTAACAGTTAACGAGTAGCGAGGAGAACGCGAAGGAGCGGCCCGGAACGGGCGGAAGTGTGGGTCGTGCGTGCCTCTGCGTGCGTGCGGTGCGTGCCGAGAGAACGTTGGAAAAGGGATAGCAGACAGCAGCAGCGGCGGCGGCGGCAGCGCTGACGAGGACAACGGAGACGGAGACGGAGGCGGAAGCGGCGAACGGCGGGGCACCGGTGGTCGAGCTTGGCGCGGGGGTCCAGTTGCTCGGCGGGATGAGCGCCAAAACGGACGTGAACAGGCGGGTACTGGCGATCCAGGCGAAGAAGAAGCGGCACAAGCCCAGCAAGCGCAAGGGCAAGGCCAATTCCCAGGGCGAGCAGGACGCGCAGAGCTCCAAGGGGCAGCAGCGTGCCAGCGACCAGGTAGCGGCTACCGCGACCACCACCGCCAACACCACCGCCACTACAATCACAACCACCACTACCACCACTACCACCCCCACTACCTACGAGTATGCCTCGGACGGGCCCTATAAGCAGCGCGCCTATAACAGCGACAACGGGACCAGGTAACCCCGACATGCTCGATTGGCGAACAGCCGGCGCGGGCACGAAGGACTTAATCCCGGATGACTCATTACGTTAACCGCGTATCCCGCGTGCATCGAACGCATGCCCCCCACGTTGCGATGCACACGCTGTCACGATTACGCGCGTGTCGACGGTGACAGCTTGTCGTTGTGAGGGATTTACCGGTTAATTAAATTGCCGCGTCCCGTTTCGAGGCTCGATGCCTTTCGATGTCATTTGAGTCCATGTGTTACGGAAATATCGATAAGTGAGTGATTGCCGATGAGAAAAATTATGGATAATAACAACGGTTAATGTAATATTTTATGTAAGATAATACTTGTGGAAAACGAAAACGTTGGATATACAAGAAAAAAAAATCGCATATTCGATTCACTTATTAAGTATCTTTGACAATTACATTTCTGAATTGCCGGGTAATAATTGCATTTGTTACATGTGGAAGCACCATCGTAGAGATAGCCGATACGATGAAACTTCGCTGTTGACGATTGACACGTAAATCGTTTTCTTGATTTCGTTCGCTCTTATATCACGAGGAAGATCGGTTGTCACAAAAGTGTCGCGTTAGTTATAATTAACTTATTATTTATGATCGATGAATCTGTCGTAGATTGGTACCATGTCATAGTTCCAGCAATGAAACGATAGAGGACGATGATGCGTTCAGTACCGAGGATGAGGAGCAGGAGGACAGCAGTGACTACTGTAAAGGCGGGTACCATCCCGTGAAGATAGGAGATCTCTTTTTAAATCGCTACCACGTCACTCGTAAGCTCGGCTGGGGTCACTTCTCCACCGTATGGCTCTGCTGGGACTTGCAGGTACGGATATCTGGACACAGTAATCAATCAACTTTCACATCTACGTAAACACGGGACGTTTTTGAAACTATGCTGCAGGATAAACGTTTTGTGGCGCTTAAAATAGTGAAATCTGCATCCCATTTCACTGAGACTGCATTGGATGAAATTAAATTATTAAAAGACGTGCGCGACACGGATCCCACCGATCCTAAGCGCAATAAGACCGTCCAGTTGCTCAATGACTTCAAGATCAGCGGCATTAACGGCCTGCATGTTTGCATGGTATTTGAAGTGCTTGGACATAATCTTCTTAAATTGATTATCAAGTCGAACTACAGAGGAATTCCAAGAAATAACGTTAAACGCGTCATCAGACAAGTTCTCGAAGGTCTCGACTATCTTCATAATAAATGTAAGATGAATGTTTAAGTCATTGATATCATTTGAAGTTATTTAGTCAGCTTTACGCAGTGGTTTTTAACAGAGTATTATTTAGTCTGAAATAAAAGAAAATCGCTACAATTCATTGTGATTTCAGTAAGTCTACCATTGTATAGTATATGTCAAATTCTTTTTCAGGTAAAATCATTCATACAGATATTAAACCTGAGAATGTTCTTGTGTGCGTCGATGAGACTTATATACGAAAATTAGCTTGCGAAGCGACAGAATTGCATTCTATGGGAGCGAAGTTACCGGTGTCTCTGATTTCTACTGCGCCGAAGGAGTTCCAAGAACCGACGCCAAACTCCAAGATGTCTAAGAACAAGAAGAAGAAATTGAAGAAGAAAGCGAAGCGCCAGAACGAGCTGTTGAAGAAGCAGATGGAGCAGATCGAGGAGTTAGAGGAACAAAGTAAACTCGCGAATAGCACGAGAGAAAACGGGGAGGTTGAGACGAATAGCCTAGATCAGGATCTCAATACGGAGAGCATAGAGGACAATACGGAGAGCAAAGATTCCCCGGACATCTCGGAGCCATCCGCGCCTTCGTTGCACATGAACGGGGTGGATGGTTTAGCGGGCGGTGAGAAGATACAGAGCCCATCGCCCGAGCAATCCGAAAAGATGGACAACGTCACTCTGTGCGACGTGGAGAAAAGTTGCGGCGAGGGTGTATTACCACCTGACGCCGATGACACTGACGAATGTAGCGAAGGTAAAGTAACTGCCGACTCTCGAGCGAACAGACAGACAGCAGCGTCTTTTTTCGTTACTTCAATTTTATTTTATTCATCTTGTCTGTAGGTCGTAGGTCATTAAATCCACCGGAAAGTAAGCAATTGAAACGGGCATCCATGTCGCCTTTGGACCCTGCCATAATGGACTGCGACATAGAGGTGAAGATAGCGGACCTCGGGAACGCGTGCTGGGTTCATAAAAAATTCACGGACGATATTCAAACGCGTCAGTACAGGTCGCTCGAGGTTCTGCTGGGTTCCGGATACGACACCTCTGCCGATATATGGTCCACTGCTTGCATGGCGTTCGAATTGGCGACCGGCGACTACCTTTTCGAACCGCACAATGGCAAAGACTACTGCAGGTAACGATTACGAGGTTCCATTGCAAATTATATAAATCTTGTAAAGATTGTTCGACGCGCTATTTTCAAGTGTCCAAATCTATTTTTGTCAATGTTTCAGAGATGAAGATCATTTGGCCCATATTATCGAGCTGCTGGGAGAAATACCTAGACGCATCGCTCTCTCAGGGAAAAACTCGAGGATATATTTCAACAGGAAGGGTGAATTAAAGCATATTACCGGATTGAAGCCGTGGGGCCTGTACGAAGTGTTGACGGAGAAATACGAGTGGACGCCGAGCGAAGCACGCGAGTTCGCAGAGTTCCTAATACCGATGCTCGAGTTCAATCCGAGTATGCGAGCTACCGCAGCTGAGTGCCTGAAGCATCCGTGGCTGCAAATCAAAAAGTGATCGCGTTTTTTATTGTTTTATCTGTAATATTTCCCCCAACTTTCACCCCCCCCCCCCCGGTCCTACCGCCCAGTCGCAAATCGTAAATCGAGAGTGTGATAGGAAGCTGAGAAACACTTGTAAACGTCAGGTGTTATTTTCCGTACTGAAAAATCATAATTTTGCGACCCAATTTGCATATGAAGATCAAGTGCATCGTTTCAAGAGCGCGCATATAATACACATACACATACATACACGTACACACTAGAAAACTGTTTGATATGATACGAATTACGGAAATAAATTGTAACATACGTTGTTATATTAATCATACGTACGCTACGAGCGTGTCTCCGCGTGGGGTAATGTTACGAAACTGAAAACGTTTCGAAGAGATTGTTATATATCCTTTACAAATGGTGATTTGACAATATTGCGGAAGTCGCCTCAAGGAAAGTCGCCTCTCGAATGCAGCGAGCGAAGTGTCGCAAAATCCGGAAATTGTTACAGAAGATCTTGCAACATTCCGCTAATTTCCACATAGAAAAAGAAAAAAAAAACGGCCGCGCGCGTGCTTCCTAACGTAACACTCTCAACGCATCAACTGACCATTTGTAGTTGTACACTTATTAAATCGTAATTTTAATTAGTGATGAGAGAACTCTTAAATTAAAAAGGAAATTTTTCATAGTACTTTATTTTACACACACACATTCATGTCGCATTCTTCGTACTCGTCATTTAATTTAACAAATTTTATTCCAAGAGTCGTGGGATCTACTCGTAATGCGCTGTGAAGGTACTGGCGGGCTCGGTATCGTGTTTGGTTTAAAATTAGGACTCATTGCCTTGACTCAGTTATCCGTGTGTACTTTTATGTGTCGGTCGGACGCACCGCACACCGATCGTTGCAAATTCTTGCCAACAAACTTGTCGTGAAGTCGCTAACGGGACAGAAATGGCTACTTAATTAATATTTTACGTCTACCTCAATATACGTGAGCCGGTATAGAAATACTCATCAACAGACATACGCACGTAACGAGAGACCGCACTATAAACATAAATTGTAAATTGAAATAGAGAGGGATCTGTACATTGTAGATAATTAAGAGTCGGTCACTGGATTCTTGGGATATATAATTTATGTGGGCGCCGATTGGGATAAGACGATATGCATGCGCATATGTTCGAGGGTTTTATTTTTTTCCATCCAATTTAAAGTTTTATATCTGAGAATATTGTTTTTCTTTTGTATCGCTGTTATCAAAATAACTAAATTTTATTTTTATTATAAAACCGCATTTGTTTGTAAATGTTGTATAAAAATATATATATACTTTTGTAGAAACAATTGTATATACAAATGACTGCGTACAAGGCTAATGACATATCCAATGTGCGATTTACATGTGAAGAATGTATTATGCACCTTGTCTTATTCCACTGCGGTCCGCGATACTGATATTATAATGAACATTTCTGTTTGTTATAAACTTGTTTACTTGTCGCTAATGCGAATGCCTGTATACATAATGTACAATTACGAGGAGAAAAGAGTATCTATATCGCGAGTAAGGCAAACCGAATGAGAGCAGTTGTAACAAGAGTAATGTTGAGTTTCGTATGCCGTCTTCTTTACTTCATGAACACTGACTGACTACGGAGCTCTCTGCCGATAAATAATTGTCTTCTATTTTATAAACGATAAAGCGAAGCAGGGCGTTCCACTGGACCGATCGCGCATACTTTCCTATGCACGAATTCAATTCATGCTTCCCGCAGAATGTTCTGTTTCGCTTCGCCTGCCAATCTGTCGTGAAGTCTCGTTTCGCAAAAGGTCTCGATTGAACTGCGTGTGGAGATGCGCGTGCGTACGTGGAATATACATTTCGTCACGATGTACAAATGTCTTGTCACTTACTGCGGTTACGTTTCTTCCCGGGTAAAAGAGGAAAATACTCTCGTGAAAATACACAACATTTTATGATCTATTTTTTTTTAAATATAACTTGTGTTTTTTTCTGATCGCTTTTAATTAGCAATAGTTGTATCTGATCATGTAAACATTTTCTCATGAAATGATTATATAAACCACAGATTTTAATTTATTAAAAATTAACGTGCATTTTTATGAAATATGATGTTTATTAATTTCCATTTATATTTTTGTTTTACAACAAAAATGTATGTCCGTATGTCATTTAATTCAGCAATGAATTATCTACCTGATTGAAAAATTGAAAAAGAAAAATTTGTACAATTTGATATTATAAAATTTATAGTGTAAGAGGGAAACAGGTAATACAATAAGCGAGATGAGAAAGTGCCTCTTCTACCCGCGCTATAATTAATATCAGATAGAGGAAGAATGCGTTTATATGCCATTTCCCGGCAATACAAAACATAATGCATTTTAGTTCGTATAACACGTTATTTATCATCGCGTTTTCCCCGCTGCAGAAGCTCTTTTCATGAATCTCGTGTGGTCTCCAATGATGGCGATCGTGGCGAATCTGTACAGTACATAGTTAAATTTTAGCGAATAATATTCAATACTGTTCTACGAAATACGGCCAGTGAAATTTATTATTATAAAGGCAGCGATCACGGCTTGATTTAATTTTTCCTTTAGCATTCTCTTTGTTACTTATGATGGAGAATGGCGCTTCTAATCAAATCAACATCGAGCTTTGGTTCGGTCTCGCTCGACTCTTCAGCTCCTAATGTCACTCGTAAAATTTCGGAACTCGCGTAATCTTCTGAAGAACAAGTGTAAAGACCTATAAATTCTGAAGATCTCTCTGTGTAATCGAGAATCGAAACCAATTAAAATCTCTCTGAGTTTAAGTTTCCAGTTACAGGCAGGTAAAGAATCTTCTATCAATAAGTGGAATAATTAAACTTAACTTACTTATTACGTAACTTATTAAATTAATTTAATTATTATGGTTAAAGCCGAAAGACAAGAATTATAAATAAACTAATTGTGACAGACATCTTTAATAACAATTAAAATGCCTATAACAAAAGAGAAAAAGATAAAAATTTGATCATTAATTTCGACGTTATTTCTTAAAGCAAAGAAATTTCTATCGCAAACAAGAATCGAAGTAATTCTCACGTACTTCTAGAATGGTAAAATTCATTTCAGCGAAATTTTATATGCACAATTTTATATATATATTTCGGTTTTTATTCCCGATTACGGAGAGATGGGTATCGATTGAAGCATGCACTGGCACGATATAACTATTAATAATGGATCGTTGACTAGACCTAATGATTTTGTTAGACGACGACGAGTCAGCGTAGGCATCGAAATCGCGTCCCGATCGTCATTAGATCAATCGAAGCTCAAATACCGTGTTGCCGGCGGCGTTTGCGGCTCCACAAGTCGTCGCGTCTGAAATCGTTTGCACTGTGACCATAGATAATGTTATATCTCATATTAATATATCATATGTATCATACATATATATATTAATATCTCTAGTATATATACTCTATACATATACATATAAAGCATATGGATATATTGAAACGATAACTTACATAGGTGTGACTCGCTGCTTGGCGATAGAATACATAGTTAGAAGAAAATTAACAAACGATAATAGCGAAACTGTGTATAGCCCTTGATGTACGAGATATCCCCGTCGCCCCCTTTCCGACTCCGACGAGCGGAATAATTTTATTTGTGCGAAGTATAGATAGCAAAGAAAGGGAGAGGAAATGAGAGACAAGTAGCCGCGGAACACGCTCCATTTCTTTTCTTTCCCCCCCCCCCCTCCCCTTGCGATAGAGAGAGTTCTCCACGCATAATATGTATAAATGTAAGTCATGTAAGAGATTCGCGAATGTGTGGGATGATCAGGGATCAGTCCGGATGAGAGGAAACGGTGTATTTAAATACAGGGACCCAATATATTGAAATTTCACACACCAGGGACTCATGTTCCAATCGGTAGATTCTAAACGTTGTTCCGAGAGAAACGGATTTGTTCAATCGGATATATTAATCGCGCTGAAGACCTCTAACGTCGATCTAACACGATACACCAATACTTATGAATTATAATATTATACTTTGCGATCGGAGCAATCGATATCATACCGCGGCTTTAGAAACAATAAATCCCCGTACGACGGATCACGGGGTGTGGGATTACAATCTCACGCACGTGCGCTTCTCAGAGCTAAGCTTTCGACATTCCTTAATTTCCTCGTGCAGGTCGAGCCGTGAAGTTATATGATACCGATTGCACTCTCGTTCTGAAAATGATCGATAATACGCAATAAGTTGTACGATGTTAAACATAGCGGAACCGCATTGTGCGAGCCGTCGATCGTTCCTTAATTATAATCGTGAACTGAAACGTGAATCGTAAAGCGGGGGATCCGCCTCTCTGTTCAAGTCTTCAAAGGACGAAATGTGTCGGTACCACGACGTTAAAAGTTGCGAATGCGAGGACCGAGGAATGTGGCCTTGATCGAGAAGCGAAAAATTACGTCGACGACAAGTTGCAAGCTGCGCGTTGTCGAAGGGATTTTACCGTGCGTTGGCCTCCTCTTTTTTTTTTTTTTTTAATCTTTAAACTATTGGAATTGTCGAGGAGAGCGACGCGAGCGACAGAAATTTTTTGACGGGAGAATGCTTTGCTGTCAAAACACCAAGTTTTATTACACGTAAGTCGCCACGCGCGCGAGACACTGTAAATATTTTGCGGGGTAAAAAAACCCAGCGTGGGGTTTTGCACATTTTTAGAAGAGCGTTCGCGTATCTAGGCGATCGGCGATTGTACCGCGGAAGGGTTGGCAGAGACCTTTCCGGGTCACGACTAGGGCTGTTACTTTTTACTCACTTCGAATATTCGAAACTTCGACGTTAACTTCGACCTTTCGAAGTTTAAGGTTCCTTCCGAAGTTTTGAAAAATACATAAAAAATTTGAATTTTCTTAATTGGATTGTTTTATTGATCATCTTTCCTGATTTACACATGTATCAAGTTTAATTATCAATTTGTAATGTTTCAGGTTATAATACTTTCAAATTTTTTTTAGGAATAACTTTGTATATGTATATTAATTCTTTTTATTTACAATATTTGCAAATTTTCCGAATAAATTTATTATTTGCACAAATGTATTTTTTGAAGCTTCGAAAGAATTTGAAGATTTTAATGCCGAAGCTTCGAAGTTCGAATGTCGAAGCCTTCGAAGCAAATCACCAGCTCTAGTCACAACGTTAAAATGTATAGCGGTTATATATCAGAATCAGATAGGGTCGGAGGAGATATTCGGTTGCGCGCGCGCGCGCGAACGAGAACGAGAGAAAGAGAGAGATAGAAATTAAGAGAAAGGAAAACGCGAAGTTTGCGTACGGTAATATTATCTCACTGATTGGTACATAGTCATACTGGTCTCGTAGCGTTATAGAGAGCCATTTAAACTCTGCATGCTTAGCCAATTTGCGCTCGCCGGCAGCAGGCCTGTGTGTGGTCCCGCCGCGCGACGGACGTTTTTAATAAGGGTGTAAAATTGTCGATAGAGGCGCGTGTAGGCGCCCCCGCGCGATACGTGACGATCACATCTTTAGAGAAGTTTCATCGAGCCGACAAAACGGGACGTGCAAGTTACAGCGAACCGAACCCGGGCGGATTGCGTCGCGAGAAAAACGACTGGAGCAACGGGACAGGAAAAGCAGGAACGGGGCGATGTTGCTGTCGTCGCGCTCCTCTCCTAGATAATATCCCAGATTAGCGCGATAAAAATAATGTCCTTTGTACCGGCTGGAGCCGATCGAATACTCCCGCGAGAGGACCGAAGAGAGTACACTTGATTGACTAAATTAATCCGCCTGATCGCATCATCACATATCCACGAGATGCGAAAGAATAGGAGGCGTCACTCGAGGCACGCGTCGTTATTGGGTTTTCTGGAAATAACGGAGCGAATTAATTTCGAAATTTCACGTGTTTAAGCGAGTCTCCTTCTGTTCGACACTTAGTCGCGAGATTATGTTCGTCTAAAGTCCATTTCTACCAATATAGATTAACTTTAATCTCGATTTTATTTATTTTTTATTTTTTTCTAATTCTTAGAACTAGAGAAAGATACAAAATAAGTTAAGCCAAGATTAAAGTTAATCTACATTGGTAGAAATAACCATAATTTCGAAACAGATGAAAATTAGAAGATTCTTTACTTTTTTTTTTCAACTTATTTGTGAAGCCATCCCTTTTTCTAGTCGCATAATTCATCGCATAATCCCCCAATTTTACGTAGCAAAATTTCTATAGATTCTTGCTGATCGTTTCTAAAACTGAAACTTCTACACTGATGCATGTTCGAAGATGTGTTAAATCATCGTTCGTCCGAGCGTATCGTACAATCAAAGTCGCGCACTCTTCCCTTTGGGGATTCTTGGTGGATTACAACGTTTGTGGAAAGGAAGGCTCAAGAGAAAGAGAAGAAAAATAAGATAATCATCGCTAATCTATTGTGTACTAACGTCTCGTGCTCCAGTCACTCGATGTAACGACCGTGCGAAGCATTAAGAACTCTAGAGCATAATAAAATAGCCATAACGAAACGAACGAATAAATGGATTTGATGTTTAGACGCTGCCTCCGTTATGTGCCCTGCCGCAAAGAATAAAAAAAAAGTAACAGACAACCATGTATCCCCCCACCCCCACCTGAGAGAGATCGATATATGATATGAAAAATAAATTCGCAACAAAATAAATTGGTTCTCTTTTTCACTTGTAATCCGTCGTTTTTAAGGTAGGAATTAAGTAGCACTCTGGAGTTAAGTTTTGCTTACGTGACTTTATTTTTATATATGTATATCACAAATTATATCACCTTTATTGTCCCTGGATGTGACTACGATCGTACAAAGTGTAATGTACAATATGTTCACGTTTTTCTTCGAAGTATGCGCTTTTCGGTCGAAGAGTGTTCCGAATACTTGAACGGAATTCGTCCCGCAATTCCGTTGATGTATTTTCCCGCTTATACATCATCGGCTTACAGGATAAACTTACATTCGCCTGCCAAAATGCAATACCGTGTTTACATTTCACTCGATTTTCCTTTACAGTAGAACGTAGGACATACTCGCGTCTTGCGCCGGCTGGTTTCTATAGCTAGAAAATTCATACGCTGGGTTAACCAGGGTTAACGCTCGGCCTCAAGGAAGCAAGATAACGCAGTCCCTCCCACGAATGATATGATACGAAACACGTGCTGGTAAGTGTTCGCATGATGATATATATATATATATATATATATATATACATTTCCTTTTCGCAACAATATCGCAATTAACTAGGAAACAGATTCTTTTAAATTTCAATTTCTCACATTTTTGGCTTTTGTTCAAATTAAAATACTTTCAATACTATACACACATATTTGGTCAGGCCAAATATATAATCAATTTCGCATAAATACTGACAGATACTGGCACAATGTTATACTGATGCAGATAACATAGTTTTTTTACGATTAGACAATTCTGTCAAAGAGATAATAAACAGAAGCTATCATAAATTATTTGAATCAATTTACTATCGTTCATTTATCACGTTGGTTCGAATAACTTATTACTTATTGAAATAACAATTATCATGATTATAAAATAAGAACAA